TACTTGAACCCGCCCAATATTGGGAATGGGGCAGGGAAATTCGAGGATTCTCCATCCTTAATGAGGAGTTGGGTGCCTTGCCCCTGAACTCACCCGGCATTAAGGAGTGGTTACCTTGCCCTGAACCCGCGTAACACTAGGGATAGGGCGGGGATGGGGTAGAGTATCTTGAGTATGGGGCAGGGAAAGGGATGGGGTGCCTTACCCTGAACCCATCCTATTGTCATTCCTATATAATTGTTAATTTATCAGTGGAATTAATAAAAATGTTAGTTTTTATAATTATTTTTATTTATTTAAAATTAATCAAAATTTTATTTAAAAGTAATAAAAAGAATAAAATTTATTAAAATTACAACAAATTATTAATAAAACTAAATTTATTAAAAAATATTTGTTCATATCCAATTAACAATAATTATTTTTTTATAAATCAACATTAAATGAAAAATAAAATTATTAAATCTTTCAGATTTTCCCGTGAATCGCACGGGTCCCTACTAGTATATATATTAAAATTGGTTTGTCCACGTCACCATTCCTCTCCTTACTTCCAACTCCCCTTCCTAATTTTATTTTTTATGATTTTATGATTTTTTTAATTCCACATAATTACCCATTAAACCAATCAGGAAATTACATATGCTTAACTATTTCTAACAACCATAAACAAAGAGGAATTTGCTTTTCTAATGTTTAGCCAAGTGTCACCACTTTCCCCCACTTCCTCCTAAATTGTCTCTAATTCCGATTTATCTCCTAAATTATCTCTAACTCCTATTTATCTCTTAAATAATTTAGTAGAGAGATTCTCTCCTAAACTATCTCTAGTTCCTATTTATCCTCTCCCCCACTTTTTATCTATATCTATCTAAAGAAAGTTTCAATTAACAAAATTCAGAACTATTTAAATGTTATAATGAAATTATATACTAAATTTAAAATATTTATTCAAAACACAAAAAATTAATAGATTTAATAATATTCATATTATTAATAATTCAATATTTTTACAAAACTAATCATGAAATTATGTAGTAACAATATAAATTATAATTTTACAAATTATTCAAATAATAAAAAATTAACATTAAAAATAAAACATTATTTAAATATTTCAAGAACTAAAAATCTTAAATAAAACATTGAAAATAGCTAAATAATATAACAAAATATTTAATATTATGTAATAACATTAAAATAAATAAAATTCAAATAATAAAATTTTTTAAATATTTTACATATTATTTAAATATCTAAATAACAAAATATTTAACATGACAAAATTTTAAATAGTTAAAATAACGAAATTATGTAATAAATTAAAAAAAAATCATAAAAGTAGAAAAATAATTATAATAGAATTCATAATATTCATATTAATAATAATTTAATATTTTGAAAAATTAATAACAAATTATGTAATAATTTTATGGATTATTAAATTCAATAAATAATTAATATTATTTTATTTTCAGTAATTATTTATTGTTTTTTTTATAAATATGCTTTCAATAATTATTTATAAATCTATTTTTATTTTGTTATTAAATAGAAAATTATCAATAATTATTGGAGATTAAACAACTATTATTTAACTTTTGAAATTTAATTTATCGTATTTATTTATTTTTGTTATAAATTTATTTTTAGTAATTATATATTTTTTATAATTTATAGATTAAACTTATTAGAGATTAAACTATTATTTGAGATTACACTATTTATTGAATAATTTAGTATATTTTTGTAATTATTGTATTTTTATTCTATATCTATTATATTTTCATTATAAACTTATTTTCAAGGATTGTGTATGTTTGCTATAAATTTTCAATAATTATTGGAGATTAAACTATTGTTATTTATTAGAGATTAGACTATAGATTTAGTTGAAATTAGGAGTGTTTAATGATTGGTTCAGTTTAGTTACAGGCTGTTTCGCCAACCAAATCGATCTGATCAAGTCCGCAATTTGTCACTCGAAATCGATTGACTATTAGTGAAAACCCACCAACTCGGGTTGTATCGATTTGGGACTATTTTTGGTTTAGTTTGTTCGTTCAAAAAATTTAAACTAAAAAAACTAACTTTAAATTTCATAAATTACAATGATATTATTAAAAAATAAATTATAAAAATTAAATCTATGATATAAAATATTTTAGACTAAGAAATATGAGAGTTTTCCTACTTCCAATATAAATAAATAAATATATATATATATATATATATATATATATTTATAAACCAAAGTCAATCTAAAATACTAAAAAACTGACCAACTCGGGTTGATTTTGATCGGATTGTTTATTAAAAAGTTAAAATATAAAACAATAATATACTCTTGTATTTTTATTTTTTAACTTTTAGTTAACAAAGCACGTCCCATCACCATGCCTCTCCTTGTTCCATTATCCCCACCCTACATTCTCTTTGACTTTCTCTCCTCTCCCATTAAGCCATGTCACCCAACTACCTAAAAATATTCCTATAATATCTCTCTAAGGTATCTCATTTAAACCAATAGAATAGTATCATGTTGCCCCACTCCCTAATCAATTCCTAAAATGCATCCCCCAATCTATATCCATTCTTTCTCATTTAAAATATTCATATTAATTAATAAATAGTTAAATGCGGTTAATATTTAATCCCAACCATATTCAATGAGTATTAAATAGTGTTATTACCAAAAGTTAATAAATATAGTTAATAAATTATCAAAAAATATATTATTATTAGTACGGTTAGTAAATTACCAAAAATTAATAAATAAAATATTGTTATTAATTAACTCATTAACAACATTTTATAGAAATTGAAAACTCTTTAACTAATTTCTATAAAATTGAGAATTATATTTAGCAATTATAAAAAAATATAAGATTTTAATTATTTTTATTATTATAATTAATAACCAAATACAAATGGGAGAACAAAATATTATAATGTTAGAAAACGAAATTATTAATTAATTTATATTAAAAAATAAAAGATAAATTAGTGTAATTTTGTTAGTAAACTACCTAATAAAAATATATATTTAATAACAATTTAAAAATATTTTCAATAATTCCCCATAGTTGGACAAATGTAATAAAATTTTCATAAAACTACATTTTCATAAAATAACATTTTTGAAATTAAAAGATATAAAGTATTTGAAAGTTTATTTAAAATGCATTAAATAATTATTGAAAATTATTAAAATATTTTGGAAATTTTAGGAAAATTTATTACATTTAATAGACTTTGGAAAACCATTGAAAAATTATGTAAATTTCATTGCAAATTATTGAAAATTATTAAAGATAAATGACTATGGGAAATGGAAAACTATAATTTAAATAAATAATTGCATAAATAATTAAGATAAATTAGTATAATATTGGAAAAAGGAAATTGTTGGTTAGTTTATATTAGAAATTATCAGATAAATTAGTATAATTCTGTAAGTAAACCATTTAAAAAGATAATAAATTATTTAATAAAAATTTAAATAAATTTACCATGTGGTTAATACTCAATATATCATTTTGATCATTTCTATCATCAAATTGAATATTGGGTTGATGGGGACAGTGTTCTCAAAACTAGATAAAACCAAATGGTTAGATCGGAAAAATTGGGAACTGGACACCGCTTCACCTCAAAACCACTTTTGTCCAAAAACCGCTTATTTGGTTAGAGAACCGCTGACCTAGGTGGTCTAGTCGTCAAACCGGACAACATTTTTTGGCATTTTTTTGTTTTTCTAATTTTTATTTTTTTTGTCAGAGCGGGTCATCCGGTCGGACCGAACAGTTGGACCATTTGACCCCAGAACGGTTCCCTATCCGGTCCATTTTTAAAAAACCTTGGACGAGAGTGGGTGTCTTGCCTTGAGTTTGGCTTGGTGTGTGGCATGGCCTGGCCCATGGACCAGCCCAACCCACGGCACGGCACGAGCCCATGTGGGCTCGATCTGTGGGTCGTGCTGAACCGACCCCCCAAATTATCCTAGAGGAGGGAGGCACGGCTAGGATGCCTTGTGAGCCAATATGACACGACTCACACTTTGTGCGGGCCACATGTGGGTCGTGTCATGCCAATCCAACACAATCCAATTTACACCTTTACTTGAATGCGCCCAATAATGGGGACGGGGCTGGGAAATTCGAGGATTCTCCATCCTTGATGAGGAGTGTGGTGCCTTGCCCCTGAACTCGCTCGACATTGAGGAGTGGTTACCTTGCCATGAACTCGTGTGACACTAGGGACAGAGTAGGTATGGGGTAGAATGTCTTGACTATGGGGCAGGGAAAGGGATGGAGTGCCCTGCCCTGAATCCACACCGTTGTCATTTCTATATGATTGTTAGTTATTAGTGAAATTAAAAAATATTCATATTAAATTAACAATAATTATTTTTTTATAAATCAATATTAAATTTTTTAAATTTTCCCATGCATCGCCCGGATACCGGCTAATTTATATATATATATATCCTCTGAGTATAACTCAACTTTGACCCAACCCAAACCCAATCCGACTTTTACACAAGTACACGTAGTTAAATTATAAGCGGGCTGGTTGATTAATCTAAGCAGAGCCCGCCCCCAAGCCCAATATTCCGAGTGCGTCAAATTATTGGGTTGGATGAATTGCGCTTGACATCGGATTCAACCCGGCCTTAGGCCCAATTTCGACTTTTACCTGTTCCAATTTCCAAATTTCTAATTCCAATTCATCGGCAACAGGCAAATTTTTTTTTTTTTTTTCGGCAACAGGCAATTTTACAGTTTACACCGCAGCCAGTAGAATTCTATTTTTTTTTCTCACCACTCAGAAATTTTGGAACAGAAAGTTAAACAGTAACAAGATAATCTGAGCGGCGTCCGCATTCGTTGGCCGTCGATAAGAAGCAAGAATACTGAATACCACCGTCTACCGAGACTGGTTTCTTCGTGTCTAAGGCAAGCTTACAAGGTCTACGTTCATATCTCACCTCACCTAATAAATAAATAAAATTCACTTTCTGCCGTCAGCCGTGTGATTTGCATCAATCAAGACTCTAGGAGATTGGTCAGTTTGGTTTGATTTGATGCGGCATGGTACCCCCATTAAAATACATCCAACAAACCCTCTTGCCACCTTTCAAATTTCCACGTTTTCCTGACTCTTTATTTTTCTTCGGGGTTTCCGATTTCCATCCTATTGACGAATCGCAAATGGAATTCGCGTAGAGAAGCAGTACAAAATTACAGCAGGAGGGGTTGGGGTTAGGACTCCTTCTCCCACCGTCCCACGCTTCCATCTTCCATTCCATTCCAAAAGGATAGCGCACCAGAGAGAAGAAGAGAGATAACAGAGGCTATCACTTCTTTGCCTGCTGACTTTTCCGGTACTGTCCCTATTCACTTTTCTCTCCTCTCATTTCTCTTTGTTCTTCTGGTTTTGCTTGCATGTAATTTATACTTCCTTTCTCTGTTGCTAGGTTTGTTCTTTTACCTAAATTTTGATTCCGTGCTGTCCGATTGTTTTGATTTCGATTGTTGTTTTTTGTTTATCTGGATTGAAGCCTGTGGATATTGTTGCTTTGATACTCTTTTGGGGGGGTTTTGATCAGTTTTTCTCAGTTACTTGTTTTGTTCCAGGAAAAGAGAGGGGGGAGTTGGGGTGGAAAAAGGATAAATGATGGGCGTTGGTTCATTGGGTACCGGAGGATCGTCGTCGTCCAACTTATCGCCATTAGCTCCGCCCTTCACCATCGATCGTTCCGCCACCAAGTCCAAAACCAATACCTTGGTTCATTTTACCGAAGAACCGTACCCTTACCCCTATAACAAGCCTTCTTCCGATAATTGGCTTCATTTGCACCCTCCATCTTCCGTACCCGATTCATTTTCCAGTCCCATTCCCGAGCCTGATACAATCCATACCACCGGCAATTATGGATACTTCGGTGGTCAGTCTATGAGTTCGTTCGGTATTCATGGACCTTCTTTGAGGCCTAGTGCTGCCACTTCCTCCTCCTCTACCACCGGTGCTTTCGCATATGGTCAACACTCGGAAACAGCGAGAAGTGGCTTTCTTGAAGCAAAACCGTACTATCCCCAGTACCCTGTCGCAGCACTTCCCGATGATGTTTCTTCAGTGGTCTTTACCGAATCTGGTTCTGACGTGCTGCCTTCTTCTTCTGTTGCTCCCTTGAGTGGGTCCTCTAAAACCGATTACGCGCAAACCTTATCTGGTCTGGGCTACTCCACCGAGTGGAGTGGATTCTGGAATGGGCCTTCTGACGAGGAGCAGAGGAGATGGAAGGAACTTGAAGGGAGTTTGTTCTGGAAGGAGAGTGGTTCATCGACTAACAAGAATTTGCTAAAGCAAGGTATCCCCAATTGCTTATGGCTTTTTGGTGCCCTGACCAGGCATGATTTCCATATTTCTAATTACTGTTCTTTTTGTGTTCAGACGGGTCAAGCAGCTTTGTCTTCATTTTTTTTTATCATTGTTCCCCTTGATTTCGTTTGATTTACTGTTCTTTCTTTTCTTGGTTATTCTTCTTTCTATCTTAGCTTCAGAGCCCCGCATGCAGTCCTGTCTACTATTTTTTTTTGATAATTGAAATCCTGTCTACTATTTATGGGGTACAATTACTGCTCTTGTTCATCTTAGTTAGCTAGATTCCATGAAGGCTTTCCAGTTCATAGTTTTCAAAGCACCAAGGCAAGGCTAGGTGAAGGGGGCATCTTGTCGGCTAGTCACCTTGGCAATGTAGTTTTTTTTATTTATTTTTGAATAAAAATCATGAATCCTAGGGTAATTCCCTAGGTTCCATAGCAATTAGCCACTATCTTTCACTTGTCATTCTCTAAAACCTTCATAAAAGACCATAACCTTTATATTAACTATTAAAACATAGAAAATCAACATGTTCACAATAAGAATAAGAAGAAAGAAAAGAAAATTCAGAAATATAGGGGCTGATACCCTATTTTTGTCAAAGAAGAAGAAGAAGAATGTGCTGATTGGACTAGGTTCTTCCTTGTTTATTGAGTTAGGTTTTGAAGTTCTCAAGGGTTCAAGACATTATTCATCAACATATGTGTTGATTGAGCCCCAACAAATAAGAAAATAATAAAAAGAAACTAGTGTATAAACCCAAAAAATGAATAATTTAGTTTAATAATATCTATTTTATTATCAAAAAAGAGCAAAAAATAATTCACATGTACAAAATAGCTTGGTGTTTGAGTGAGGCATCCCTCCATGGGTGCCTTGATGCCTAGGCATTTGCCTTGATAGCTATGTTCCAATTTGTTGTCTGCTAGTTGGTAACTAGGCCATTGGCTCTGATTTTGGATGTGAATATTTGTATGCATACTTATGAAGTGAGAAAGTTATGTTTTGTCCGTGCATATTGACAAACTGAATTAATTATTTAAGCAAACTATAATGGATGTACAAGTATTGATGTGTCTTAGCATCTTGTTTAGACCTATGAATAATTTTTTTTTTCATTTTTTGTCTTTATAGTTGGTTGGACTGCATGTCAATAAAAACAAAGTTATAATTACAACTCCCTTTTTTCCAATGCTAATGAATTCTGTGGTTATTGATCAAAAAAAAAAAAAAATTACAACTTCCTTTTTGTTCCATTTTAGCTAATTTGAAGGATGCTTGTACCCATTCAAGTTTATCTAAATTTAATATCATCAAGTAGAAAAAAATTCTAACCATGTAATATCATAATTTTTTTAACTTGTGTTTTTTATCTATTCCCCTTCAAAAAGTTTGACAAACCTTTCCGCATATCATTTTTTTTTTTATTTTCTTGATCAATGCCAAGATCAATAGTGTTTTATTAATAAATCAGTATGGGGGAGTATAAGAAATAGGAAACAAAAGAAGCTAAAAAAAATCAAAGTGATTTTTACCCCCACTTATTGCTAAAGAAACAGCTAGACGATTGGTGGATCATTCTCTCTCTCTCTCCCTCACACACACACACAATCACATGCACATGCATGCCATTTCTTTTTGTATATGCATCTCATCCTCATCATTACCCTCTGATCTGATTCTTTTTGTTTTTTTTTGGGGGGGGTGATGAGTGTGTATTGATTTGCTATGGAACTACATTAGAGCATTCATGTGTACAAAGAGAATCTTTACAAGAGGATTCTAATTATAGCAGCAAAAAGTGCAAAACCTAATTAGCAAAAAGATAAGTGGAATAAAAAAGTTTGCGTAAAGGGCATCCCTGAACAAATGGGTGCATCACTAGCTAAGATCTGGGAGCTCTAATTGTTTTGGTGATGATCTCCTCTGTTGTTTTGCTTCTTTGCTGAAGTATAGGAGAATAACTTTATGACCGTAGCACCCTAATAATTGCATGAGGTATAGAAGACCGCAACGGCCTGACTTTTTATTTAGGCCCTTGAGATTCCAACACCTCAAAAGTTGCTCTATGGTTGCATATACACACACACATTGCATTATTGCAACTACCCATTTTAGTTTATTTTTTTATATATTAGAAAAAACAATTGTTCTTCATTCTACAATAATTCCTATCACAGGATTTTTGCTTTTTTTTTTTTTATCAGTAACAGGAGATTTTTTTTCACCTTGAAAAATTTGTGTTCATTCTGATATGGTTCCTGTTACTAACTAAATAGGGTGTTCAAACATGTTTTTTTCCTTTTCTTTCTATACAAAGGAACAAACAAGTTTGCTTTTACCAATTATAATTTTGCATCAAGTGTGTACTGCCATTCAAGCACCAAATCCTTGTTTCTGCCCTTGTGCTTCAGGTAGCAGAAAATGAAAAGCTACCAAATTGCACCCTTTGTTCCATTTTGGCACACTCAATTCCACAAAAAGAGGTAGTGCAACAAAAAATCTTTAATGATTGTAATATCCATATTCCATTTTGAAATGCTCTGAGAGAATAGAATTCAGTAATATCCATGTGTATTATAATTATCTAGATTTATTTCTTTGTAGGCAACAATTAGTGGTTAGTGACTGTTGCTACCAAAGATGGGGCTGAGGGCAACAAGGGAATTTCGTTGGTGTTTGAGGCAGACGGGTTTGACCTGTAGCCTGTAGGTAGGGGAAGAGTACATGTCAGAGGCCCCGGGTGTTATCCCAGGGGCGGAGACTTTGACAGTCAAGTTAGTCAAGTATCAAAGAGGGGTCAAACCAGGATTGAGATGAGGGCTAAGAGCTTAGTCCTTAATAGCTAAGGAGAATTCTCTTGGGATTCTGAATGCAAGAGGAAAAGTGAGTTTACCTTGGGATGGGGACCCCCTTTTATAGCTGAGCTTGCCTTGGAGTGGATGGAAGCAGTTGGAGATGTGCGACCAGGATTCCATTTGGTCGATGCCACATGGCGCGATCCGAGGCTTGCTAAGTATATCCACATCACTTGGCCCCCACTCTCGAGGCGGTAGTGGCCGGAGTCAAACATTGCGTTGAGGGGAGACCTTGGCCCCAGTCGAAGAGAGTACTGCGTAGTTGTGTGGTGTCGGATGGTGCGTTGGGCAGAGACCTCGGCCTTGGTCGAAGATAGTATCATGCAGTTGTGTGGAGGCATTGGCCTCGGCTGTTGAGGACTCTTCTTGGCGACTGTGTGGCAACTACTTCATTGTTTGCTTCTCGCCTCATTGGTGGATCACGATGGGCCGAGAGCGCAGGATTGTGGCCAGGATGGGTTTGAGGCATCCACATTCATTGGCTGTGTCTCATAAAGGTGTTGTCGTCATCTAGCGTGGGTTCGTGCACAGGATGGGTGTCGGTGTTGACCGATTGTGGCCTTGCGCAAGATGGTGTAGAGGGTCGCTCCTGACTCGAAGATGATCGGTGGGCCGACTTATTCTTTCGGCGTCGTTTTGTCTCCTCGAGGTTGAGGCCACGTGTAACATGTCGGTTTGGGCTGTCAGGTCGGCGGTTCCGTGGCCGTTGGATCAAAGCAATACGAGCCGTACATTTTCCTTTAAATGGGGATGCTGGTTGAGTGAGTCTTCACCATTTGCTCGACCCTCGAGTTTTTGCTTGTGATTCTAGAGACCTCGGATACCAACCAACCGATTCCTTAAGCTTCCTTTTCTCACTTAGACACTAGGTAAAGGACTCCTGCCTTCGAACCATGTCGTACTCGGACTCTAGACCTGAGTGCTACGAACTCCCTGAGTCCCTGACATAAGTGACACTAATAGTTCTTCTTCCTCCTTGTCTAGTAGTGGGAGTGATAGTAGTGAAAACAAGAGCTCCCCTCGGGCACCTGGTGTCCAGGTACTGAGAGAGAGGACCGCCCTTGGGGGAGCTGAGTGGGACTGACGGGGTAGGGTTCTTCCGATGAAAGTTAATACATATGCTCCATTTCCCATTAACTTTCTTAACCATGACCGCGTTAGACAACCATTTAGGGTAATGTACCTCTTAGATGGAGCTGGCGTCAAGTAGCTTATCTACCTCCTCTCCGATGGCTTTCCAATGCTCTAGTGCAAAGTTCCTCTTCTTTTGCTAAACTAGCCTACAACTCGAGTCTACGCTTAGCCCTGTGAGTAATGACCGAGGGGCCAATTCTTGGCATGTCAGCGGCAAACCAAGCAAAGATGTCGATGTTAGTTTTGAGAAAGCTTACTAGCTCGGAAAGTGTGTCTTGAGGGAGGCGTGACCCAACACACACCTTCTCGGATTTGGCCTCATCTAGGGGAATCGAGATGAGGTCCTTGGTTGACTGGCCTCGGCTTCTTGGTTCGTCCTGGTGGTCGAGCCCTTCCAACGACAAAGCTTCTTTATTCTTGCCTTCCAGTGCCGCCACATAGCATTGTTTGGCTGTTTGTTGGTTCCCCTTGACTACTACGCCATGCTCGGTGGGGAACTTCATGGCGAGGTGATAGGACGAGATGGCTGCCTTGAGTGCATGAAGAGTCGGCCTCCCAATGATGGCATTGTATGGGGAGCCTATCTTCACGACCAAGAACTCGATCATCTTGGTGACTTGTCGAGGCTCTATCCCTATTGTGATTGGTGGTAGGGTGATCTTTCCTTCTGGCTTGACGACTTCCCTAGAGAAGCAACTAGTGGAGCATCGACAAGCTGCAACTGGTTCGACATCATCTTCATCTTCTCAAATGTGTTGTAGAACAGGAAGTCGGCTGAGGAGCTGCTGTCTACGAGTATTCTCTTGACCATGAGACCCCCTGTAGGTCATCGTCGGGGAAGGAGATGACATCTTTTGGCCTCAACGTCAAGCCTTGGATGTTGAACTGCCTGGCGTATGCCTTTCGGGTCGAGGCCGATGCTCCACCCGAGGTTGAGCCCCCAGCAATGACGTCAATGACTCCCGCTAGGGGGAGATGGGCTTGGGGCTCAGCTTGTTGCTGCTGTTGCTGTGAGACTGAGGCGCCGATGTCACCCCCAACGTACTCTTTCAGGTGCTCACGACAGATGAGTGACTCGATCTCGTTTTTGAGTTTGTAACAGTCCTCAGTGTCGTGGCCGGTGTCGTGGTGGTACTTGCAATATTTCTTGGGGTTACCCCTTTTGGGGTTCCTCTTCAATTTGGCCGACCATTTCATGTATTCCTCCTTCCCTACTTGCATGGCTATATGCGTTCGGGTGGAGTTGAGTGACGCATATTTGTTGAAGGAAGGGGCCGACGACTTTTTTTCACTGTCCTTGTTGGTGTAGTTGTGGCTACGGCCTTCCCTTTCCTTCCTCTTCTTATCAATGACCCCTTGGCTGGGGTCGGCCTCTGGCTCATGGAGGCGCTCGCTGGCCTTGACTTCTTCAGCAACGATGTACTTTTGTGCCTTCTTCAAGAACTTTACCTTGTTCTTGGGCGGGGTCTTGGAGATGGACCATTTAAGGGGTCTGGGCCGAAGGCTATTGATAACTGCATGCATGGACATCGAGGGATCAAGGTCTCTTACTTCGAGCTCTTCCCGCTTGAGTCGGGCAATGTATGCCTGAAGGCTTTCTCCACACTTTTGCTTGATCGCCATGAGGGATACGATGGTCTTCTAACACCGTCGACTGTTGACGAAGTGGGAGAGGAAGAGGTTGGCAAATTGGTTCCATGAGTTGACGGGTCGAGGAGGGAGCATGGAGAACCATTTGCGTGCTGCTCCCTTGAAGGTGGCTTGGAAGGCTCGACACATTAGGGTGTTGAAGTACCCATAGAGGAGCATGAGTGCCTTGAAGCTCTCTAAGCGGTCGTTTGGATTTGTTTTCCCATCATAAATCTCCAGAGTGGGAGCCTTGAAGTGAGGCGGGAGCAGCTCTGAGGTGATGGAGTTGGTGAAGGCGTCCATTCGGGTGGACGAGGGGTTCTGACTAGTGGAGTCATCACCTCGGCTCTCCTTCACCTGATGGATTTGGACTTGGATGGCGCCTATCTGCACTTGTAGGTTGCCAAGGCGTCGATCGATGGGGGCATGGGCCTTGTCCAGGTTCTCTTTTACGTGGAACGGGTTGACCCTATTTCCTAAGTGCTCGAATGCTGACACACCCTAAGCCTTACGAGACCAGTGATCATTGAGAAGATCGCGAAGATTTGACACTAGGGGGGAGAGGCGTACTTTCAGCCTCCAACCCTCGGAGGAGGGTTGTAGTGGCTAGAGCGCCTGCCATTGTCTCGGTGGTTGTCATGGGACCCCACTGGATCACCTCTTTGGTTGGGGAGCCAAGAAATCTTCGATGGGGGCTTGCTGGCCTGTCAGTTGTGGTTGTTGGACGTTGAGGGGTTGGCCTTCCTGGGGCCGATCGGACGTTGGCCCAGTGGAGTGCCCACTATATTGCCCTTGGCTTTCAACGGGGTGGCCTCCTGTCGGATGCCCCACCTCGTCCAATCTTTGGGCTAGGTTGTCTAGCCTATCGAGGACCAGCTTGAATTGGTCCATAGGAACCAAGTTATGAGCATTTTGAGTGTGGTCTTGCTTATCGTCCATGTCGAATACTTAATTAAGTTGAGTTTTTCTTTTTTCTTAGAGGGAAGTCTTGAAAATGTTGCCACAGAAGACGCCAATTGTTGTTGCCAAAGATGGGGCCGAGGGCAGCAAGTGAATTTCGCTAGTGTCTGAGGCCGACGGGTTTGACCTGTAGGCAGGAGAAGAGTACACATCAGAGGCCCTGGGTGTTATCGTAGGCGCGGAGACTTTGACGGTCAAGTTAGCCAAGTATCAAAGAGGGGTTGGACCAGGCTTGAGACGAGGGCTCAGAGCTTAGTCCTTAATAGCTAAGGAGAATTCTCTTGGGATTCTGAATGCAAGAGAGCAAAAGTGAGTTTACCTTGGGATAGGGACCCCCTTTTATAGCTGAGCTTTCCTTGGAGTGGTTGGAGGCAGTTGGAGATGTGCAGCCAGGATTCCACATGGCCAATGCTACGTGGTACGATCCGAGGCTTGCCAAGTATACCCACATCAATGACCAATCAGCAGAATAGCAGGTAAGGGTGAGTTAAATAATCATGCTTCTCCATAATGAATCAAACCGAGTTCACAAGGTTTCCAGGAAAAATCTGTTTAATCTGGGAAATTATGATGTGTTTGTGAAAAAATGTTGAAACTAGTGAGCATTTTCATTTTTTTGTATCTTTTTTTCTCTCTCTTCCAGATTGTGGGTTAATGCATGGATTTGTATTACCATTGTTGTTGTGGGATGGTTTGTTTTAACATGTTTGCATCAACATAATTGCATATGTCTCTATTTCTGTACAAGTGAGAAATATATCAATTTGCATTTTAAGTTAATGTTTCTTGGCCTTTAAATAATTTATATGTTACTTGATGAGCTCAAGCCCCCCCCCCTCCTCCATGTGTGTGTGCCTGCACTTATGGTTAATGCATAATTGGCCTTCTAACACTTGAAGGCCACGAAGGGGAAGAAATATTCTAAAAGGGAAAAAAAAACAAAACAAGGAGCTTCAATGAATAGATTACTTTGCATGAGGTCTATTTGCACTGGTGTTTGACTACCATGCAACAAGCTATTGGCATCCATTTGTTTTTTTGTGCAGGAGCCTCAGCCTCTGGGTACTTGACAGCAAACCAAGTTGAATCACTGGCAGGTCAAAGTCCTCTTGGATCTAAGGGCACAGGATGGCTAGATTCTAGATTGTTACCATTATCTGAGGAGAATGTGGGGGTTGCTCCTTTTAATATTTCAAGAACACCAGTCTTGAATCCTTCAACATGCCAAGAAGTTCCTATTCCTCAGGTATCATCCCCAGTATCAGTCATGAAACTACGGAGTCATCTTGATCCAAATACAGCTTCATATGATAAGCACTTCATGCAGCTTGATTCCTTTACAACCGATCCAGCAGGAATGTATCCATCATTTAAAATTTCTTCTCCCTGTCTAGCCAGCTCATCAGCTGCTAATTTCTCAATACCAATGACAAACCCATCAAAAAATTTCAATTCAAGTGGCAAACTTGGAGATGCATTTGGTAACAATGAGCTACCTTATGATCATAATTTCTCCAATGCGAAGAAGCCTCTCATCCAACTGATTGCCAAAGGTAAAGAAGGTTATGATGATGCTAACCAGATCAGCAATAGCATTGAAGGAAATAATCACATCTTTGTGGAACCCTCAATTAAGAAAGACGAGCAAGTAAAGCACAACACTCTTGCTGATGATTCTATTGATGATTTATTGAATTCATCTGAATTGCAAACTAATCCATTCAAACTCCCCACTGCTCTTTTAGCACCTGATAGAGGTAAAGGTTATATTGAGGGTCCTTTTGAGACCTTTGATCAGCATAACCCTGCAGAGGATTCCCCTTGCTGGAAAGGAGCACCAACTTCTCGTCGCTCTCCATTTGGAGTGACTTCACAATTTGTACAGGAGTTTGAGGGAAGCAATAATTTGGGTCTCAAACACTGCCAAATTCTTCCTGCCAATGTTGATAATGTGGCAGCAATTTCCTCACAAGAAGTGGAAGGAAGCTTGGTCCACTACAAAAGTGGGTCTCTGGCAGGTGGTTCATCAAGTTTGTTGAAAGGATCCTCTTATTTAGTAGGATTTCAATCCACTGAAAACATAGTAAAAGATGATGTTGAAGTGAGAAATTGTCATTCAAAAGGGAGGACTGGAAATGAAATTCAAGGTACTGGTGACATCCAAGAACTAGGAGCAGAATGTTTATGTACTTGCAGCAAAAGTTTTAGTTCTGAACTCCAAAATTGTCATATGGAGCAATTGAATCATGCGGTTAACATTACATCTGCAGAACAAGACTCAGTGGCAAGAGTTCATGATCCTATGGTGGAAATCAAGGATGCTGTGCAAGATGGTTCATCTCATGTGCTACTCCATTCTCTGGATCATACTTCAAGTTCTGCATGTAGTGCTGGTGTTCCCACTGAACTCACTGAACCACTAGGAGCATCAAACAGTTCAACTGAGTCTTCACTTCAAAAGTTAGATCTCAGTGTTGTGGTAAATGCATTAAATAATTTGTCGGAATTGCTTCTTTCTAGTTGTTCCAATGGTATGCATTCATTGAGGAAAGTAGATCATGAAAGTCTTCAACATGTAAGCAACAATCTTGAATCATGTCTCTCAAAATTGGGGTTAGTGAAGGCAGTGCCTCAATTACAATCTGCTCAACCAAACACTACTTATTTGCCAAGGGCACCAACTAAGGAGGTAATTTTTCAACCTATTTAATTTGTGGATTGGTGGGTGTGTTTTGGGTATGAGTATGGGCAGGTGTCCTGTGTGCGTTTGCATAATGCAATTCCGTGAAAATTTTCTCTAGTACAAGTAAATAAACTCTCCTTGAAACTTGTATGTCATGCAACATTTGTTTTTTTTTCTTCTTTTCCCTCATTTAACTAGAGTGCCCATGCCGCATGAGTTCTATAATACATTTCATGTTCAAGTCTGTTTATTGCTTACCTATCAAAAATCTTTTTCTTTTTTTTTTTCATTTTTTGAGGGGTGGGGTTAAGTCATTGTGTTGTGCATTTAACCATCCAATAGTTTCCAGCATCGAGCTGAATTTTATCTTCTCCACTCTCCAGAGTTCTGGTAAAAGCAGATCCACTTTAAGCTATGGAGAAACAAATGAGCAAGACAGTCACAGTGCTCATGAGGGAAAGATGCACACTAAAATGACTAGTAAAAAAGAGGATAAATTGCAGGATTTTGTTTTCTGGAGTGATGGAATAGACTATGAGTCAAATAATGACATGACCCAGGTATGGTTTTCATTCTTTCAATGCAAAGATATTTCATATTAAGCTTAATACATTTTCCAGGAAAAGAAGGCATCACATAGGTTATATCTCCTTGTTATTCTCAGGCTATAAAGAAAATTTTAGAGGAGAATCTTGATGAAGAGGAAATGCACCCACAAGCTCTATTATATAAGAATCTTTGGCTTGAGGCTGAAGCTGCATTATGTTCAATGAAATATAAAGCCCGTGTTGCTTGTATGAAGATGAAGATGGAGAAATGCAAGTCACACCTTGTAGAAGGTGAACTATTGAGTCTTTATCTTGGTTCTCTGTGACTCCATTGTGGGTGATGTGACTCTAGTCTTTATCTTGTCACTTGATTTTTTCCTTCCATCCCATCAGGTGCCGCTGGAAAGCCTTCTAGCATAGAGCAGTTGAACAATGTCCCATGTGAGACTAGTGTGGGTGATGTGAGGACATTAAAGAGTGAAGAGGGCTCTGCCGCAGGTGAACTATTGAGACTTATCTTGGTTCTTTCTCCATGACTTCTTGTCACTTAATTTTCTTCCATCCCATCAGGTGTTGCAGGGAAATCTACTAATATGGAGAAGCAGTTGATCTCAAAGGTCCCCCGTGATTCTAGTGTGGGTGCTACGAGGACACCCATGAATGAAGGGGGCTCCACCGTTGATATCTTTGCCCAAGATGTTACTCACTCAAGCAATGGTAGTGGGACTGAAGACGTAGAGGCTTCTGTTATGGCTAGATTTCACATTCTAAAATGTCGGGTTGACAACTCAAATTCAAGGGATGGAGGAGAGCGACTATCAAATCAAACTAAAGTCGGAACATATGTAGGAATGGAGAAGACGATGTCCTGCCCATGCCCCAGTGATGAACAAGATTTTGGGTTGAAGCCCCAAGCGACAAAAGTTGTTGATATGGGATTTGGGGAGAGTAGAAACCCTTGGCCATTTATCAGAGAGAGAATGGATTCGGGAGAGACCCTCAGACATGACATGGAGCATCATATTCGAAACTTCCACACTGAAAGCAAAATTGATTTGGAAAATGTTTCAGAGCGAGGTGAGAAAGTTAAGGAGTTCGGGGTATGTGTTTCAGAACCAACCATCGAGTGTTCAATGGTCAACAGGCCCGGAGATCAATGTCCAGCCAATGGGTACGATAGCTCCTCATTAGATTGGGAACACGTACTGAAGGATGAATTGACTCGATAGAATTGATAGTCAAGTTTCAGAAATGCTGGGAGATGTTCTAGGCAGTTGAGGAGTTCAGCATTGTCTCACTTCGCATGCATTGTATGTACTTAATTTAACTTTCTGCATCTGGGGTTGGAACTGGAATACTGTGATTTGACTATTATATTTGCATACTTTGTGTATAAAGCTTCTGAGCGAACTCTAAATCCCTGGGACCAACTTTTGTTTTTGGTGGTTACTTTGCCGTAGTTCAATCTGTTGCTCTGGGAATGGGAAGTAGGCCTGCGGTGCCTTTCCTTTACCCTATATACTGAGAATGTTTTGGAATCTCTCCTTCCATTCCATGATGCATGCACGCTGTAGTCTCATTGTTCATAAATAGGGAAGGCCTTCCCTTGAGGAGGGACTACTACTAACACCCTCTTTTCCCCATTCCTTGGCATCTTTCCGAGCTCTGAAACTCTCATTTTCCCAATCCCCATCTTCTCGACTTCAGAGCTCGGACCATTCATACCATTGCCCTACACTTGGTCCACTGCACTATTGTATGCTCTATTGTACCCAGAACTGAAATCAATGGATCCGAAACTTATTAATCAGGCTCTCCCAGAGTAAGCAACGACACAATTGATGCTATCCTGACTTGTGAGTTTTAGTGATACTAATTAAGAGGACTACTATAAGATTCGATCAAATCTCAGCTCGATGTTTACATTCATGCACGTCATAAACCTATTAACTCCCACATAGCGACACGGATCTAGCCATCTAGGCTCTATAAATTATAATAACAAGATGGAGATAAGATGTAGCTCAAGGTTTTTAAAACCGACTCGGAACCAAACCGGTCAGGGGTCTGGTTCTTGGGTCAAATGGTCCAATCGCTTGAACCGAATGGTTGGCCCATTCTGACACAAAATAAAAAATAAAAAACGGTTAAAACTGTTGAACGGTTTAAATCCCTGAGTCAGTGGTTTACTGACCAAATCAATGATTTTTTGCAAAAATCCGGTTTTGAGGAAAAACGGTATAACCAGTTCCGAGTTTTTCCGGTCTGACCATCCGGTCCGGTTTTGAAAACCATGATGTTGTAGCTTGATAGAGGTGGAGAGATTATTCGTTATCTCAGACTTTGTTACAATTGTCGGAAGATGGCAAAGCTTTCTCTTTCCTTGTTTTAGAGCACGCCCGCTCTTCTTCACAGCCCCGTTTCATCGATCGTTTCTCGTCTCTGTTTGTCGTTGGGCAATGGGTTTCATCTAATCATTCTGATGTGTTGAATAATTTGTGATTTTGGGCAGCTGAGATGAGGATGATCAAGGTTGTGGATGTCAGGACATGCCAGATCATATTTTGTTGGCTACAAAATTAACTTGTTGTGCAATCAACAATGCTTGGAGAAATACAATGGTCATGGAAGTTGCTACAAACCACAGGACACTTTCATCAACGAGTGCGTGGTCTGGTATCCTTGTTGATCTCACCTTCATTGTCTTGCCTCAATGCTCTTCCATGGTTGTAAATGGCATAATTTATCCACTGGATGGGGAGGGAGAAAGAGAAAGAGGAGTTTGGTCGCTTCTGTCAAGGTATTTGATTATTCACGACAGCAAAGAACAGTAATAATTTTATTATCCACTGTAACGTTCGTTAACGGTGTGTGTGTTGAACCAAAGTGAGACTTCCAAACGTTCAGGTACCTGATGTGGGTAATCCGGCTACTCACTACTGGAGATGACCTGGCTTCCAGCGTCGATGAGGACGGGTTTTTGAAAGAGGGGAGCTCAAAGATCCCGGGGTGATTCACCCGGTGTGGATACTTTGATGACTAAATTAGAACACAATGATAGTGTAGAATTTGAAGCTGATAACAATGGGAGCTCAGAGAGTAGAGATTTCACACAACAATACTAGTAAAAAATAGAACATACCTTCGCCCCTGGTGAGAGCGGGGTCTTTATACACTGGCTCAGGTGGGTAGGTGGAACGGTAACTGAACCCCTGTTACGATGGGACTTGTCGCATGTTAGGTGGTTGAAGCGCCGTCAAACGGTAATACTATCACTTCCCGTCAGAACGGGGAGTTGGTGAACTAATGTTACCGTTATAAGTACGGTCCTGTGGGGTTCAGGGATGGGGGTGTATTCCTCGAGATGGCCATGCGGAGATCTGTACAATAGATAAGCTACCTGCAGGATATTGGGCTGCTCGGTAGCGAGTTAATGAGTAGCGAGCTTCTCGAGCTCACGCTTTGGTCTGTCCTTGCGAACGCCGAAGTGTCATTGGGCCGAGGTGATCCCAGTTTGGGGTACTAGCACACCCAAGCTCGCTTTATACCGAGCTGGCTTGTGCCAAGTTGTCACTTGCGTCGAGTCATGTACACGCGTCGTCTGTCTATGAGGTCGGGCCAAATCACCCTTCATCAATTGCCCCCCACTCCCCGAACTAGGGGTCCTGACCTGGTGCGGGGAGTTCATGATGTGACAAGTGGATTTGGCTCGGAGTTTAGGCTGATGTGGGACGGGCCGCGTGCGATTCATGCAAGGACGTCAGGCGATCTTATAGGCTCTACGGACGCCAAAAAATGCACTAATTTGATTTCAGTCTCGAGGGTCGTGCAACCGGTTTTCTTGGGAGCCATCGGATTTCTTTAATCTTGATCGTTGCTTTCTCGGCACAGTGGCTATAAATAGTGTCACCCGAGACTCATTTTCCTTTGCCACAAATCCATCAGCTCTTGTCTTGAGGTCGCGCTTGCTTCTTCAGCTTGGGTTTTCCCAGTTTGTCGTTCCTTCCTAGTCAGGTCGTCCACCTTTGGTGAGTCTCCCTTCGCTTCTTCTTTTCTTTCAGTTTTATCTCTGTGTCACCTTCTAGTTCCGATGGCCCTCTCGACGAGGCCGAGGTGGGCGCCTTGGCCCTGGTCGGTGGCCAGGATGGGGCCATTGTGAGTTCGGGGGCAGCTTGTGGCCCTTCTAAAGCACAAGCTCCTCGAGAGGCCCGAGAGGCCTCGGGTGGTCAGGCATCCACCTCCAGCCGAGGTCGGGAGCCAGACAACTTCGGTTTTTCAACCATGACCTCAGACCGACTTCAGGCCCTAGTTCACCAGTACCACCTCCCGAGGGAGTTCTCCTATGGCCTTCCTTGCGGTAACTTCCCTTGGGAGCACGATCATAACGAGATCGTGGTTTTTGAAGAGCATCTTGCAGCTGGTCTTCGTCTTCCGTTACATCCTTTGATCACTGAGGTCCTAAAGTCCTTTAATATAACCATAGATCAATTGCACCCGAACTCTGTCCGTAATGTGGTAGGGACCATTTCGGTCTTTTACGAGTATTCTCTTCCCCTTAACCTCGACAACTTTTCCACTATCCTGTCTATCAAGAAAAACTCCTCCTGCGTTCTTCCCGAGCACAGGAAAACCTACTACCTATCTCCTCACCCAGGGTACAAGCTATTGCACAAACTTCCTAACAAGATTCCGGCCCGGAAACAGAGTTACTTTGTAGTTTGTAACCCTGAGGGGTGGCCCTTTTTGACCCAACGGAGGCCGGCAGTCCAGGTACCCGGTGTTAGGCTGGGCCTGAAGATGAGAGAGACACTTAAGTCTTGGGCGGAGCTCGACTTCCTCTGCGGACTACCTTGCTGAAGACAAGCTTGTGCAGGCCGGCTTGAGTCCTGGTAGGTCGTATTGAGTTTTACTTTCTTGAGATCCTGATCTGTTCGTGACTAATCTTACCTTTCATTTTTGGCAGCTACCATGCCGGTCAACATTGCAAGCTTTCTGAGGAGCTCCCAGAAGGGGAAAAAGAGAGGTGCGAAGAGACAGCGTCCGGAGGCCGAACAATCTCCCGAGATTGTTATCGTGGAACCGTCCTCCGTACCTCAGGAGGAGGCCCAGTCTGCTGCCCTTGAGACCTCGATTGATGTCCAGCGCGAGGAAGGTCGGTCTGAAGAGCCGGGGAGTTCGTCCATACCTGTGGATGGACCAGAAGGTTATCTTTCGGCTATGAAGGACAACATCATGGACCATGTCAAGGCCATGCGGAAAAGTCGGGAAGCTGTCTTCGAGGAAGAAGTCTCGAAGTGGGCTGAGCTGGCTCCGGGCGCTCTCCTAGGACTAGTTGCCAGCCACTGTATGGTGGTGAGCCTTCTACCTTTCCTCTCCCCTTTTCTCTTCTTTTTTTTTTTGACCTCGACTTTCTGGTTTGCAGGTTAACTCCATGGGTCGTGCATTGGCTTGCCAGGCGGCGATCCGTACGAAGGAAGCTATAGACGCCAGAACGCAAATGCAGAGTCTCCACCGCGACTTGAACCATGCTCGAGGCGAGGCACTTAGGGCCAAGAAGGGGGTT